AGAAAAGATAAGTCAAGCGAGCCTTCCAAAAAAGTATTGTAAAATAATATAAAAAAAATTTTTATCAATTGTGTAACAATTTTGTGACGTATCAACGGTTCCTCCTGTTATATTAATGATGAAAGTTCTACAATAATTTTTATTGTTACTCGGAACAGTGTTATATCTGGGACCCAAATTTTTATCTTACTGTTAAAATTGTCGAGAGAAGCTTTGTTTTCCAATAAATATTATTTATTGTATAGTTTCTTATGATATGAATGTCCATTTTTTTCCATATTGTATATATGAAATTAAATCGGACTTTCAATCGTCAGACAACTATACAATAATACCGTTATTGTATAGGATTAGATTACACTATCGTAAATATTTTTCTAATCACATGCTAGCTATAACATTTGATTGGTCGATTCTCGGCCAATCAAATTTTACATCTAGCATGTGATCAGAAAAATATTCACGATATTGAACAAAAACTATAAAATACAAATGCTTAATCTATTATAAACATAAATACAATATGCTCGATATATAATTTGGAATTCATTAAATCAATGAGAATGAATCTACAATGGAAATTGGTCAAAGTTTATTTGGTCATCTAGATTATATCACGATCGATTATTAATCGTATCGAGTCAATAATCAAGCATGATTTTGTAGACTCGAACAAAAAGTCATAGGAAGACATTCATATTATTGGTTAATTTTGTATATCTAATTAGCAATAATAATGGATAATTTTTAAAAGATTTATCGTTTTAATACTACTGTACTTGAAAACGAAAAGAACTTGACGCAAAGAAGCCTAAAAACTAATAATGAATGCAAAAAAAATTTGTCCCATTTTAGAAATAGATAGATAATGCGTAAATTGATATTTATTGCTAATAAACCCAAACTCAAATCGATTAAAAATTCAATATGCGAATAAATTGCTAACGAAGCTATCTTTTATTCTTTATTTATTACATTTTGTAAGTAATTAATTTTTTTTATTTTTAGTTATCACGACCACGCGACATAACCCTTAGCCCATATAATTAATGAAACAATAACACTTGTACATATTATCGACCTACGTATTACTTTAACCCAAAGTTACATTTAATACTCTAGCAATATTATAAAATTATTTTTATTATTTTTTTTATAAAATTATTATAAATATTAAGACTATTATCGTTTTATGAATAATAATAAAAAAATAACTTCGGTCGGTCATGCTATGAGTAGATAAATAATTTTGCAAAATCACGATATGTAATCTATTCCAATTCCAGGATAACGGTTTAGGCAGTAACATTTATTTATAAGGCAACAAAGCAATATGACATGTTAAAATTTACACACTGGATGCATGTATTGAATCATCATGAAATAATATTTTATAACAGTTACTGATATAGTTTATAATATAACTTAAAGGATAATATCACTCCCAAATTATATTTTTTTATTCAAAAATTAATTGCAAATTTTATTTCGCTACATTGATATTCCTAAGAATTTACAATAAAATCACCAAACCAATATTTTTCAGTAGGTCTTCGTCTTCTACTTCCAAATATTTCCTCTGAAACTTTTGCAACTCTTAATAATGTTGCCTCATCATACCATTTTGCCATAAATTGTAATCCAATAGGCAGGCTTTTATCATTATAACCTGCTGGCACCGTAACTGCAGGAATACCAATAAAATTGGCTAATTTTGTAAATCTTAATCCATATGTTGTAACAGAAGGATTTATTTCACCATATATTAAAGATTCCGGATAGATTGGAGGAGCAGTTATGGCACAAGTAGGTGTTAAAATAAGATTAACACCAGAGAATAAGACTGATGCGTTACGCATCATACGCGTACGAACTTGTTGTGCTTTAATGTAATCTGAAGCATTCGCATTGCTGTATAACGCAATGTTTGCTCTATTAGGAAAACTCAACAAATGTAAGCATTCTTTGTATCCATTCATAAAGGAGCAGAATTCGGATAAAGCAGTAATTGAATGAGCTATTTGTGCGTCATTTAATTCCGGAATATCAATTTCAATAAACTCGGCACCACGAAGTTTGAATTCATTAATAAGTGAATTGAGAGAAGAAGTAATGGCAGGATCGACGACTCGTCTATTCCAATCAGAGAATATACCAATCTTTAGATCAGACAATGTTTTAGTAAGGTAAAGACCATGGAGAGTGGGTAATGGCTGGTACAAAGTTTTTGAATCCTAATGTAAAAAGTTAAAATACAAATACAATTGATTATTACAGTATAAACAATTTTAGATTATCGAATTACAATACAAACCTCAGGATCTTTTCCAGCCATAATATAGTAAGCTAAAGCCAAATCATCAACGCAAGCAGCCATTGGACCTATAACATCTGAATAGTGACATGTTCAGGTTAGATGCTTTTTCTACAATTAAACTACATGAAATCTATACAAAATAATAATAAACCTCTCACCCAGAGAACAAGAAAGTGGAACTGTATAACCAACATAAATTTGAAATACGGTAAATATAATAAGTTAATATATAATTAATATATATATGATATCTTTACTAAGAAAATCATGATTTACATAATCTTGTAAGGTTATTTCAAGTAAGGATTCGATTTAGATGACTTTATATTATAGTACTTACATTCTCCCGTTGAAGAAATCCTTCCAAATGTTGGCTTTAATCCATAGATTCCACAAAAAGATGATGGTACTCTAAACAATAATACAAATAAAATAATATAAATCTTTATCTGATTTTGATTTTCAATTTTCAGCTAAAGATCATTTCAATAATTGCCTGATAGAACCTCCAATATCACTGCCTACGGCAATTGGGCATAAACCGCTGTCGTGTGAAAAAAAAATATAATTATTGATTTAAAAATGGAATTAAAATAGAAAAAGTAAATCTTGGATAAGAATTATTTTTTAATAACCTGGCAACAACACATCCACTACCTCCACTTGATCCTCCACAATAATGATCGGTATTGTAGGGATTGCGAGATGTATATGCTTTCGGATTATTAGTTGTAATGCTATTAAAACAAGGAAAAGAAAAATATATATATTATAGTAAATTATAATAATATTGGCCAATTATAAATTCCCAATAAGCTTACTCAAAACAAATTTCATGCAAGTTTGTTTTTCCGATGATGATAGCACCTTGTTCTCTTAATTTTTTTACCAACAATGCATCTTTTGAAGCAGGGTTTCCTTGATTAAGAAATGATGTTCCTACACGTGTCTCATAACCTATAACATCAATCGAATCTTTAATCGCCACAGGAACACCATCAAGGGGTCCAAATGTTTGGTTTTGATTATATCGAGAAGTCGACGCCTCAGCTTGTGCTCTAATATCATCCTCGTGATATTGACACATACCTAAAGTTGCCTCATTATAATTTAAAATTAATTAATGGCAAGTTATATATTAAGATAATTACTTTAAAAGCAAACTAACCGTAAAGAGGTGGGTCGCACGCCTTAGAGCAAGATTGTTTCATTTTATCAATTAATTTCTCACATACCTTTTTTTATAGAAATTTTATGTTAACGTTAAAATTACTGTATATGATTATGATTAAAACAATATAATTCTTAACGTACTTGTATGGGTGTAATACTTTTGGTAAAGTATGCATCAGTATAGTCGCGTGCGCATAAAAATCTTTGGTTTGCTGGAGCTGGATTATATACTTGATTTTTCTGCTCAATAATTTCTAACCCATCGATGATCTATTATAAATAAGTATATTACATTTTTATTGCCTTTTTTTTAAAGGGTATCACGAAATGAATTAAGAACTCTTTCATGATCAAAATATTGCATATTAAAAGAGAATAATCACAATTGCATATACGTTTTAGGACTTAAGAAACAAGCAAATTTTATTAAATTACCACAGAGTCTTCAACACCAAATATTTCTTTTGGTAGAGGTAATGGCATCGTAGTCATATCTTCATTGAAGGATCTATCTCTCAAGGTACTTAATGCCATATTATTATAAAGATAACTTGATAGTCCAGGGACATATTCAAGCAGGGATGTCAAAAGTCTCAAAGGTAAGCCGCTCACGTATGGAAAGGAAAATCGCCGACTATTCTATAAGTTTATTAGAAAACGACGTTTTGGAATTAGGAATATAGAAGACTATCTTCACCTCTTGATCACGATTGAAAGACATTGAAATTTTATGATTTGCGACCAGGTTGTTTTTAATATTCAAGATAGTTCCGTGAGAACTTATTTAACCCACTACAATATTTTTTTTTCCGACTGCCGAATATCATTACCGTTTAAGCCTATGATCAACCGTGAAACG